AACCAATCACAGCAGATGGCCCCGCCCCTCCCTGAGCCTGGTTCTGCCGGAAGTTTCTTCCTGTTAAAAGGGAGTTTTTCCTTCTTGTTCATATGGACTCGTTTGATGGTTGGTGTTTTCTCTGTTTTTTTGTAGCACTTTGAGGTGACAGCCGTTGTGATTCGGTGCTACATAAATACAACTGAATTGAATAGATGTCAACATTTATCTGCTGCACCAAGCATTTTAGACATTGACCATCTCAAGCCTGACTACATACTGTGAATTCTGGGTAATTTAAGACCGTTTACAAAGTGAAATAAGTCCCTATTTATGGGATATTAATTATTACTGTTACAAAAAATACAAACAAGGAGAATCATTGAAAAGAATACACTAAGTGTAAACACTGCAGCAGTGCTTTGATGCTGTGGTTTCTAGTTTCGGCGTTGTCTGCTTGTCCTAATCATTCACTCAGCTACAGGATGATTTCATTGGAAAAACAAAAACAGCTGATGATATCACTGACGTCCATATTGAGAGGGGGATTTTCTTCTTACTGTTGTTTCATAACAATACCAGCAAATCATAATTTATGACATTTTGTTGTGTCCCATTAGTCATATTAGGTGTCACTGATTGTTCTCATTGTTCTCACCAGCCTGATCGTGTCTTTACTCCAAATATCAAGTTTTGGTTTGCCAGAGATGCAGACTGATGCTAATTTGTGCAGAGCAACGCAAACAGAGGCAAGTGTATCTGCACGAGTTCACCTCAGTGGGCTGCAGACACCTGCGAATTCTCCTGATAGGGTGACGATCAGAAATGAGGAACATCTTTACTGTCACGTTCTCTAAGGAGCTGCACCCACAAGAACTTCTCAGCTCAGTGCTTTCAAACAGTGAACAAACTCTGGAGGAATTCCTGGTACATTAGTAAAAACAACAGGGACACTTTATTCACGAGCTGATAACAAACATACAGAAAAAATTTATGTGTAACAGATCCAATAGAAAAAAATCAGGAAACAACAAAGAGCACAAAATAAATGCCAAACGCTACAAAAAGGTTGAAGCACAGATACCAGAAACAGAGGAAGTCACAAAGGACACAAAGAGCAAACCAGACGATCAGGCAGAGTTAATTATTTCAACATTATGTGCAGTCTTAGTACAGCTGCTTATTTCTCAGTTTATGGCTGCAGATTACAGCTGTGAAGCCCTAAACTGGCTCTACTTAAAGATTAGAAGTTACTGTCACACAGCCTAATAAAGAAGACGTGAAAACACTTTGTGTTGTCAGCAGATCAAAGTGTAATTAACTGTATTGATTGAACAGGTATTCTTGTGTTTTTGTTCCAGCATCCAAACGAGTACAAACACAGACTCAGCAGCTTCCTTCTACACTTCAAATTAAGAG